AACTTCCTATCTGTAGAGTCCTAAAAATTATCACAATGTTTTAACTGGTTAATTAAAATAAAAAAGAAATTAATTAGTATAATATTTAAAAAAAAATAAAAATAAAATAGTTGAGGTAAAAAAAAATCAAAATCATGTTGAGTGCTACTGCAGTAATCAGTAACAAAAAATGTTTAGAGAAAGGGTATATGACTACATGTATATGTACAGTCATGTATAACGGGTTCTTCGAAATTCGTAATACAACTAAGTATAAGCCTATTTAATTTGATAATGCACACTATGATAATTTTTGTAATAACAAATTTACCCTAAAAATTCAGAAATTAAATTAATGAATTATTAGAATTAAAAATGTGATGCATTTTTTTTGTTTTGTAGCACCGTGGCTGTAAAATGTTAATTCAAAACTTTCCTACTATTTTTTTTTTTATTTATTTTCATTTCTAAAGATCTATTTATTATTTTTATTTTGTACATATAGATTATGCAATAAAATTAAATCATAGAAATATTAATATTATTTTTGTTGTCTATTTGTACTCAACATTTATAGAAAAAAAATTATTTTAGTTGGTTTTATTGCACGCCTGCTAATCCATCACTTGCACAACCAGCAGTTGTGTATAACAATCAAAAGAGATCGATTTCCGGTTGTGCAGTTGATGCGAATAATTCCAGTGCACAGGTAGTAAATGGACTCGATTCAGGCAATAATTGATATTTTTATTTAAATATAAGAATGTGATTCCATGAGCAATTTATTTTTCTTTAATTTCACACTCTCATAAAATGCAGTGATTGTTGATTAGCGACTATATTTGTTTTGAAGCAAGGGCTGGTAGAGCGAAAACGCTGATTGAAAATAATGTTCGCTGACTAAAATTCGTTTTAATCTCAACTAACCTTGAAAATTCAATGTCTACCATGAGTATGCTACAAGTGCATCCTATCCACCAAAACTGGGACTTAGATATGTGTATAATTTGACAAATAATGAAAAAAACATTGCTTGTGCATGCGATCATTCAGTTGTGAAAGAGATCTCGGGTTATGCATGAGATGAAGGACAAAAAGTTTCAAACTTTACGAATAAAACTAAACATTATATAATTATAACGTTGTCTTGCAAAATTTAAAACATAAAACTATAGAATTTTCTTGCAAATAAGTTGAATTTGTGAGAAAAAAAGATATATAAGATAAGTAAACCTGGTAAACTGTTGAAGTAGATCTGTTAGGGGAGGGGGTTAAAGTTTCAGTTACAATCAATATAATTACAGTAAAAAATCATGTGTGTATTATTTAAATTATAAATCTTGTGTGAATTATCCAATGCATCTTTAATATGACTATTACGTATGCAAAATAATAATAATAATAATAATAATAAAAAAAGAGATAAAATAAAATTTTTAAAAAACAGCATATACTGGGCAGTATATCATTTTTTTTCAGTACGAAATTGTTTAACTCAAACATACCTTACCTTTATTTGACGGTACTTCAACAAAAGTGGAGGGAAAGACCGAATTTTTCATGCTTTCATTTCATATATATTTTATAGTAAAAGTGCTGTCTGTGAAAAAAATAAGAGGTAGGCTCTCGATGATATGTGTTTGCCATGGTGTTTTGAAGCTAGGTATCCTGAATTTTGTTATCGAGATGGACAGGATCAAGATGACAACACCACATTACAGGTGCTTCTGGACAGGACCCCCCCCCCCCCCCCCCCCGGGACTTGTTGGACACTTTTTTTCTCACAAATTATATTTATTACATTTATTCATCATGTATACCATAGGGGAAAAATCGTCAAAAATCCAAAATAATCGTTCAATAAAAAATATCCCTATTAAACATTCCAAATAAAATTAATGAAAAGCATCAAATCAGCCGCAAAATTTATAATTTCAAAAATTACTAGTACTTTCGTTATTTGAAAAGCATCAACGCATGGGAAGCACAAAATATTCAAAGCTGAAATAGATCAATTTCATTTCAGACTATCTTCAAAGCAGAAATAAATAAAATGGTTTTTTTAATTAAATAGAAATTTTAGTGCATTTGTTCATCAAATGGAGTCATCAATGAATCAATAAAAAAGTCGGTGATGAATTATAAGAATGTATGAATGAAGATGTAGGTCTCTCAAGATGAACCACATGCCGAAACCCTGGATCTTTATCACGTGATAATACCCATAGTTTCTGCAGTAGGCTAATCAAGGCGCGTAGTTTGATGGAAAAAATGTAAGAAAAATATTTGTTGTCATATCTGTAGCACATTCAAAACAATTTTTACTACAGTGTTGTTGAAAAACTTTTTCAATTTTTATTCACCTTGCAACTTTAACCACTTCATTATTATCTGGAAAATCATGACGATTTCCTTTCATATCTTGATTACTCCCTGGTTGGGGAGTACCTATTGTAAACTCTTTCTATATAACCATATATTATTAATTACCCAATTAGAATTGACAATGAAATTGTAACAACAACAATAAATGCTCAGTTTAAAGAAAGTTTTTAAAATTAAGATTAATTTACAGAACATATGAAAAATAACGCCTTATTTCCCGATATAAGAGATCGGCCGCGGCTGCTGAAAAAGTCAAAATGTGCTTGCAAAAATGACTGTACATCATTGGCGGATCTAGAAGGTGGTTCCTGGGGTTGGAACCCCCCCCCCCTCCCCCCTCTATTTGATTAGAGAGAGAGTTATGTAACACGGATATTTTATTACGTCTAATATTTTGAATAAAATAAATACTTTGAATAAAAAAAATATTTCGAATAAAATAAATACGCTGTATATGTTGTTCAATCTCTGTCCTTTCTGATTGCTTTAAATAGAGTTCCCTCGTTTAATATGCTTTCCTCCGAGTACCGTCACATACAATCCGAGCCCTGCTTGCTTGTTTGTGTTTTTATTTTGTTTGTTTGTTATTGGCTTGTCAAAGTCCCCCATAGAACTGTTGAAAACTCAGTGTTGCCAGGTTTCAAGTGCCTATATGCATGAGTGTTGGACACCTGGACACCCCCCCTTTTTTTTTTTCAAAAATTGCTGGATCTGCCCCTGCAACATCTTCATATTATAGACAATATTTAACATTTTATAATTACCAAAAATAAAATAGTATAAGAGGTGAATTATGGAGATTGTATAATACTTGCGTAACTTTTTATCCTTTATCTCATGCATAACCTGAGATCTCTTTCACAACTGAATGATCGCATGCACAAGCAATGTTTTTTTCTTCGAATATTTGTCAAATTATACACATATCGAAGTCCCAGTTTTGGTGGATAGGATGCACTTGTACCATACTCATGGTGGACATTGAATTTTTAAGGTTAGTTGAGATTAAAACGAATTTTAGTCGGCGAATACTGTTTTCAATCAGCGTTTTCGCTATACCAGCCCTTGCTTCAAAACAAATATAGTCGCTAATCGACAATCACTGCATTTTATGAGAGTGTAAAATTGAAGAAAAATAAATTGCTCATGGAATCACATTCTTATATTTTAATAAAAATATCAATTATTGCCTGAATCGAGTCCATTTACTACCTGTGCACTGGAATTATTCGTATCAACTGCACAACCGGAAATCGATCTCTTTTGATTGTTATACACAACTGCTGGTTGTGCAAGTGATCGATTAGCAGGCGTGTTTTGAAATTACTAATGCCCCGAACTTCTTAGAATAACGTTGAATTTTTTTACACGTCTGGTTGGCCGTACATTTGTTGCCTTGTAAACAGGTAAACAATGAACGATACGGGAAGAAATGACAACGTATAAAGTAGATATGGAAATATGCACACGCAATGAACGTATTTTAACATGATCAAATAATTTTATAAAATGTATACTGTGTATATATTTCTTTTATGAACTGATTTAATGTACAGTAGACGAAGTTCGAGCGATTCGAAGGTCAAACTCGATCATCGTGTTCCTTGTGATCCACACCCGTACATTCACACATCAACAGATCAATGTCGATACCGATAAAATATATTCTTTAATCACAAATATGTTTCAAAAAAAGATATGTCTAGAACTTTATGTTGGAAAATATACATGAAGCAATAGATAGATGATGCTACCTTCGAAATAAAAAAATTCAACACATGTCAACAACGTCGTCGTCATTCTCCGTACATGCTTGTGACGTCACGCGAGTCAGAAAGTGCTATTTTTCTCCAGGTTTTTTAATTTTTTAAGTGTGTGCGACTTTATGAACAAGATTAATTTTTTGAATGAAGACTTTTTTTGACAATATCTTTTACGTGTGTAAATATCTTTCTTGTTCAAGGCGTCGCACATACCTAAAATCGCCGATAACGATGCTAAAAATGCCACTTTTAGGCGTTTTCTTGTAAACCTAGTCTCTTTAAACCTTCAATTCTCTGTATATTACTTAAATCAACATATCAATTTATCCATACAAGAAAAGTTTAAATTCTAATCTTTCAAAAAATATCAATTTTATTGAGGTTTATTGGCGTTTAAATTGTAACAAAAACGGGGGCCAAACTATAATAGAAACCCTATATAGTTCTTTTAAAATAAAAATTTCAGCAAAAATGTCCGTATCTTCTGTTTTACAAGATGTACCCTGCTCTTCGAAGTCCGTCTCGACTACCTCGTGTACCTCATCCGAGTCAACAACACAGGATTCAAGCGAGGAGCAAGCAGTGACGCAGCAAACACAGACGGCATGTCGCAGTTATGATAAGGCTGTCCGAAGGCTTAAAATGCCTTAAAAATATATATTTTATTTTCAGCTAGATTTTAATTTTAATATGTAATCCTTGTTAGAGTTTGCAGTCAACTTAAGATAATAGTTCAATTAGGTTTTATTTTACAGCATTTTTGTGATGTCATATGACTGTGTTGATCACGTGACGGAGATTTCTGATATTCCTTATTGTTGCATAAGAATCGCTTCGGCACAATTAGGGTTAGGGTTAGGGCTAAAAGCGAAGATGCCGGGTTATAGGTCATGCCGGGTCATGTGAGGTCAAACAAAATGAAAGTGGAAAGTGAAAAAATTGTGCAAAGTTTGTTACATAGATTAATTCATCGTGATCTCTGGTACATGAAAAGTGCTGGGGGAAGGTTTAATTTTAACTCGTTAAGAAAACATTTTACGAGAAATTCAACTTACCAACATAAGAAGGGGTATTTTCCACAATATATCGGAATTTAAACAAAAATGGATAAACTACACACAATCCCCCAGCAATACTCAGTTAGAGGACATAATTCTCTTGTAGATTCACGCAGAATATCCTCAGTTTGTCCTTGTTTATCACTTGTGCCAGTCCAATATAAACACGATTCATAAATTCTAACTCTGTCTACGAACATGTAAAGGGAGCGTTTCACACATAATTTTTCGCTATTGTTTGAACAAGTACATATTGGACAAGTGAAAGGAAAAGGGACATGTAAATTTCAAATGTTCAACATCATAACATCCAACTCTAGCTCAAAAATCAATCATAAGCTTGAATTAAACAAGTCCCTAAAATAAATCTACATACCATGTAATAATTATGACACTTTCCCCGTCATGTCAGCTCAAGTATGCAGTGACGACGTCATATCTATTATGACGTCATATCTAGATAGTTCAGAGAAGTTACTACGGTTTTAACAGACTGATATTTTTCGGGCAGCCTTATCCTAGCTGCGGTGGATCAAGAAGTGAATCAGCAAGTGAACCAGCGAGTGAACCAACAAGGTACCATTTTCAAATTTTGTCGTACGTCCGCGAGATAAAACCTAACACAATCAGTAACCCCCCACCCCCACCCAACAGAAAACAGAAATATTTCCTATAGATTAATATCGAAGGGAAAATCTGGATAATAGTTTCTAGTTTAAGTGAGAGAAAATTGTAAGAATTTATCTAAATGTATAAAATATGAGCAAAACTTTCTATAGTATTAACGACGAAGAAAAGCGATAGAAAGTTGCATATTAAATATACATGTAATTTATTGTTCATGGTCATTTCCAATCAAGATAAGTCAATCCACTTAAGTTTTTTATCACATGCATCAATTATTTGTTTGTACCAGGGATTAATTTTTATTTCCCATTATAAATACATAAGAGTATTGAAAAATAGTAGTAAATATACATCTCAAGGTTTTGAATTATTTTGCTACCTGGAATCAATTTCTAAAATTGGTAGTTGGAAAGAAGGGGGGGGGGGATCTTGCCAATTTTTAAACATTCTGCTATATCAGCCAATCTACGATATAAACTATTTTGTTATTGAACAATATAAATAAACCATAGAAGCAAGCGGGGATCTGCAATCTTTTTGTGGGGTAGGGGTAAGGGTAGAGGATACTAGTATGTAATAACAGATTTAATCAATTCTCGATTTTTTAATTTTAAAATGAACGAATATTTTAATGATACACAACAAGATTAAAAGAAAAAAAAATGACAAGAAGGGGAGTGGAGGTCTCACTTACAATTTACTTTTCTATGTTTTTTTTTTATGCTTAAAAAGATAAATGTCATGCAAAGATTTTAATTTATAAACATTTCCATTGTCTTTGTCGAGAAAAAATTACAAATTATTAATGAACTTTATTATTACACAAATCATAATGTACTGGTTCTTCGGTAGGCGCGGTAAAAAAAATCACGCGCGGGACAGGTAGAGACAGCTAGAAGCGGGGCTTGTAGCACGTGGATTGGAGTATTCAAGAGCATAATATACGTGAATTTAAGGAATATTGTCAGATTTTATTTTGTTTCATGACGATGATCAATCGATTGGCTTGCGGGATAATTTTATGCATAAAAATCATAGTTATTTCTTAATTTACATTTGGCTTATTTATAAATTGATTCAAAACGTCCTTCGCCCATGGTCATGCATACATGTATATTATAGACACATAGAAAAAGGTGATTAGATCGTGCACATACTTGCAGAATAATTGAAATGACTTTGCTGATGGCTTTGCATGATAAAATGTTGCAGTAATAATAAGATAGATTTTATAGTTTCGTTACTTTTTTCCAATTTATAGCGAAGCCGATATTTCTCCGGCCGCACCTGCACCAGCAAAAAGAAGCAAAATCTCCCTTGAACAACTTCAGAAGATGCAGTATGAGGTAAGAAGGGGCTGAATAATAAAGTGCATGTTGATTAAATATTTTTGTTGAATATAAATAAGTGTATATGAGTGAAAAAGCTAGAAACGACAAATAACAAAAGTCTGTTTTATTCTCAAGGTCTTGTGCTGTCAGAAAAAAAACTTTGAACTACAGAACATGAAACTCGTCAAAGACCTGGAACGGACAGACCTCGAGAAGCAGAACATCGAGCTACAGAACACCAAGCTGGCGCTACAGATCGAATGCCTGAAGCAGACTGTCTCTCAGAATGAAAGTGCTCTCCTAGCTCTACAAGCTATCACTGATGAATGAAAATAGCAGTTGTATATAATTTATACAGTGTTTAAATATAATTATATTTATCATCTATAGCTACATATATAAAAGTTTTAATTCCAAAAATGATTTCTATTGATTCAATTTAGAAATAGGTTCTGGTGATGAAGTTTCTAATTGCCCTTCCATCTTCGGGTTCACGATAAGCCAGTTGAACTGCATGGTTGTCATCTTGTTCATCATAGTCCTCCATCTCTTCCTTTAGAGACAATGCAATATTATGCAGAATTTCACATGCGCCAATTATTCTGCAGACTTTCGCCGGCTTCATCTTCATTTCACTATGCAGTACATGGAACCTTCTTTTCCACCATCCAAATACTCGCTCAATGGTGTTACGTGTGCGACAATGGGCTGCATTAAAGGCTTCCTCAGAAGGATTCGCTGGGTGGAGGTACGGGTTGATAAGAAACCTGGAACAGGCGTAGCTGCTATCACCAAGAAGATAGCCGTCCTCAACACCACGATGGTTTCCTTCCATGAATAAGCTGAACTCAGATGTCCGGAAAATGTGGCTGTCATGGGTACTTCCGGGCCACCGTGCGTCAATGTTTATGAATTTCCCTGTATGTGTATATAAAGCATGGCATAAAATATGTTTTGAACCCTAGTACAAAATATTCTATGGTATATAAAATGCTTTTAAAAAATCCTCATAGCATACTAGATTTAGATTGAAAAATAAATACAAATGGTTTACTTTAATTTCTCATAGTCATGTAAAGAAGGCGGGGGGAAGGGGGAGGGGAGGGAGCAATAAATATTAAAAGTTGTTGGATATTATTAAAATGTCTTTTTTTCATTTGGAAAGCTTATGTTTTATATCATGTTATGCTTAATTGGTTTCTATACTGTATAGCATAACATGATATAAAACATAAGCTTACAAATGGAAAAAAAAAAACGCCGCGCGTGTATATATATATATGAAAGTGTTTGTGTGTGTATAGGGTATTAGTGAAGTTTAGAAAGGTTATCTTGACAAGCCCCTGGTAGATCGGATTTTCTTTTTTACCTCGCTCCTCAAAAATTAGATATATGTGGAATTTCTTTCTTTCTTTTTTTTGTGGAGGGGAGGAGTGGGGGGTGAGAGGGAGTCCTACTCCGATCTTGTACTAGAGAAGTTGATCAAAAATAATCATATTGCTGAAGGGTTTTTTAAGTATGAATACTACATTCATGTACCTTCATGGTCACATATCGCCTGTACATTGATGGAATGATACCCCTTCCGGTTAACAAAGACGTTATGGAGGTGATAGGGGATACCATGGGGCTGGATAAGAGTACAGTAAGCAGAACCGTCGATCGTGTCACTGACGCACTCCTTGCACAGAAAGACAGATTTATAAAATGGCCAAGTCAAGAGGAAATTGCAAGATCAAAACAGAATTTCTTTGCAAGGGGAGGATTTCCAGGAGTTATCGGCTGTATCGATGGGACACACGTCCGAATTCAGGCGCCGTCGGAAGATGAGGCCGTAAAACTTCCAGAGGCATAAAAACGAAGAGCCAACATAACCTACAAGGACTTTTTGATTGTTTACCAGTGATGTAACATTGATTTTGAAAAAAGGGATCGACTTATCTGAATTAAATCTTGATAAACTTAAAAAAAAAGGGATTCTTTTTAAAGCCATATATGGCGTATGTACAATGAAGATTATTTAACTAAAATTATAAGAACTTATTTCTTGTATCACTACTTTATATAAAGATAGAACTTTGGTAAATTACAAAATCTAAGTCAATTGTGTTATAAAGATATTACAATTTAATTTGGACTCGGAAGATAAAAAAAAAATAAAATAACACATTACAGAAAAGATAAAATCGTATTATTAGATGAAACGAGGTCCCCGTGTTCAGAATAGTATGAAAGGTTTTAAATTAAATGTATTAACTATATTTCTTTACTTAATTTTGTATTTTTCAAAAATGAATTTTTTGATCAGTTACGCCATATATGGCTTTAAAATCAAAATTCTGTTCAGCTTATTTTTTGCACAATGGTTGGTCGGTATTAGAGGTTGGGGGATTGGGTCAACTCCAACTTTCTTCAGTAACAAGAGCAAAAGTCAGAAAGTACTGAATATGGCCTGATTTCAAAATTGGACAACTATGCTTCTGGGCATATCTACAGACTTCATAGTTTTTCATACCAACTTTCTTTTCTCAATGTCTCTTACATATTTTCTGTAAAGGGTCTTCAAATTAACATATGTTTATCTGGTTGAATGTCACACTTTCTACAGGACGTCATTATGACGTTGCGAATTTTAACACCTCTGTGCTCTCAGAAATAATTAAAGTGCTATATTTTTATCATCATGATATTTTAAAAAAGCGTATTATAAATCTTTATATATATAGTTATTTGATACATTGTCAATGAAAGATAATTTTAAAATTATAACATCGGGTATGAGCAAGATTAGGTACGAGTGAAAATGACACCGTTTCCATTCATGATGCATCGCAGTGGATACTTCCATGCCTGTAAACGGAGGTACTTGTTAATATAAAATTGATGAATAATTAATAATATTTCCTTAAGTAATGCTTGACAAAAACTTCATGTTATTTTAATCACATCTATATAAAGCACGTAAAGGCAAATGAAGGAAATTAATAGCACTGTTTCAGTTATGTATGATCTACTTTCACTTTGCGTGAGAGCTTACGTAGTTACGAAGACAGCAGTTTGCATTAACATGCATCAGTTTCTGGTGGCATAAATAGTTTGAAAGTAAATAAAAACACGCACAAGAATTCAAAATGGTTTTATATACATTCTCAAATCACCAAGGACAAATACCACAAGTCAAAAAATAAATAATGTATTAACTATTATGATTATTGCCTCTGTGAAAAACCTGGTGATTATTTAAGTGCAATTTATTCAAAATAGTCACAAATAAAATAAAAACAAAGTAGAGAAGTTGATATTTATATAATACAATTTAATTTTTTTAATTCAAATACAAAAACCTGAAAGTTTCCAATTTTGAACAATTCAGTGAATATTTCTTTCTTAAAAGCTCAGGCATAATTAATGCATTCATCAGTATATTCATAGTGAAATTTAACTTTTATATTTTTTTAATAAAACATTTAAGAAGTGTTCAAAGTTAAATCAAGTTTTTTCTTTAAATCATTTATAGGTTCAGTTTTATCTATAGACCTTAGGATGCTGCATGTACCATCTCTTTTTAATTAAGGGTGCAAAAAAGTGAACATTTTTTTTTTTTTATAAATTTAAGGGGAATAAATTAGAAATCCAAAATTTAAAATTTCAAACATCTTTTATACTGAGTTCTGCAAATCATATCTTATGAGGTTTAATGTATCTGTTAGCCTAGGTAATATATATCTATAGGTAATATTTATTTTCATTATCAAAGAAAGTTCAATACCTGACCTTTCAGCTTATTTCATTTATGTACAAAATTCAAAAAAGAATAAAGTACAAGTAAATAAATAAAACTTACCAACAAAAACAATAAACATGATAAACAGAATAATATAATTTAGAATGTTTACTATATTAAGTTTCTAGTGATTACACATGTATGATATGTAAATATTTATGTATATTTCCAACAGATGAAATCAGAATCGTTGATTAAAAACAACAATCCCATACATGTATATATGTATCAAATTTTAAATACTGAGCTTCCTTGATCACTTGTCTGTGTTATTGTCATACCATTAGTCCACAAACTAACCTAACTTGGCCAGTTTTGTCTAATTTACTTGGCTAAAGAAATATAAAACCAAACCCCCCTTTATTGCCTGACAGGTTAAACAAGGAATGCTAAAAAATAAATCGCAAATATTATACAAGATTATCTGTATCGTACCAGGTATATACAGTACTAAGGCTGTTTCTAGGACAAGAAGTTCAAGTCGCATGTGCAGCTTACTCCTCTGTGGAGCTGTCATCACTTGAGCTGTCACTGTCTGACTCGTCAACTGAAGTGGCATCTTCCAGGTACTCTCCCCAATCAAGAACACCAATTTTAGCCTCAGCACATCTGTGCCGTGCAAAACCGAGGTACCACACAATGGACGCTGAATGGGCACACATGCCTACAACCCTTGCACCAGCTCGACACTTGCAATACCAAGCAAGGATATTCCCATCACCATATCTGATCCAGAGTTGGTAAGTCCTGGAAGACACGTGTCGACTTTGCATTCGGACTCTCAATAGGCCATGCTCTTCTTTGTGCATTTGGATGGTGCAGTCTCCTTCTAGATGTTCTTGGAGATAGCTGGAAGAGAGGCGAATCTGGTAACTGCCACATGTCAGCGCACGTAGCCTTTCCTCATCCAAGCATGGGAAGTCTGTAACCTCATCAACTTCTTTCCAGCAGACTGTCCGACGATCTAAATGATTTTCCTGTACATGCTTCTTAAGCTGATTGACTTGCTTGGACAGGTAGATCATCTTTGCTCCCAGAGCCTCGTCATCTTCCACATTCCCACTGGAGAGAGGTTTCAGGTACCTGGAAAAGTGTGAAATTTTATCACAAATGTCTTGTTTCCCATTTACATTTTCAATAATTATAAAAGAGATTTACTTTCATCTTATCTTTGAAAGGTTACCTATTGCAAATGCAGCAAATAATCTTGATGAAATCTCCGATGAAGGGTATCTGGCTTGAAGGGAGAAGATGATTTAGATATTTCCACTGCTTGATGCGTGCATTGGCACTTTCGACAACCCATTTAAATTACATTTTAACATATGTAAAACACATTATATTTTTCATATGTTTAGAACTACATTTAAGATTTATTAAGCCACATTTTTTGCATATTTGTATACATGAATGAAGACTTTCTTTTTATGCGCCCAGATTGATAGATCCGGAGCATATATTTTTTTTCCTGTCTGCCTGTCTGTTTGCAAACTTTAACATTTGCCATAACTTTTGCATCTTCTTGACAGATGGAGACCTGATATTTGGTATTCATACTCCCCTAATTAAGCCCATTCTAATGAAACCAAGGTCAATGACCTTGTGACCTTGACTGTGACCTATATGCTTAAAATAGCTTTTTTTCGAATTTGTTGCCGCCGGGCACATAGTGTTTCACAAACAGATCTTGATTTACATTTTGTTTTTTAAAAAGTGATGCATTTTGTAAATAAGTATTGCAGATTGCTGAATATCTTGTATATATATTTTAATAGCTTACCTTTGTTACTAACCGGCTGGTATTGGCTGCCTCAGATGACATTTGTTTCTGGCCCTTTTCCATGAATGATGGCATCTCAATCTTGATACCAAGTTCCTGTAGGTAGGACAATGAATCACGGAACCCTCTGTCGACAACGAAGGTGTCATCCTCCTGCACCCAACTGCGGACATCTTCGATGTTGGATCTTATTATGTGATTAAGAATCGTAGCATCGTTGTTTTTGGCAAAGTATGGCCCGATTACGGATATAAAATAGCCCGTTGTTGATACGATAACCATGGGATTTACTAAGGGTCTTCCCTTGTGAATGCTGAATGAAAGCCTCTGAAATTTGAAGTTGGCACTTTTAGTAACATAAATGTACGTCCCATCCAGCACAAGGATAGCTTGTGGACTCATGGGGTTTCCAAACAAGGTTTGTGCAAGTGGCCTAGTGTGATGCTCTATGATTTGTTCCCTTGTGATATGTTGGAATTCAAGATTTTGAGCGACAAATGTTCCATGAATGAGTGCTGATCTAACTGCCTTTATGCTTCTTCGGATGCCAGACTTAGAGATGTTGAATAAGGTGGATAACACTCTGTTTGACTCCCCTCCCCGTAAACTTCATCAAAAATATCGCTAGACTTGTTCGTGTGGTCCTAGATGGGGTTGACCTAACTCGACCTTCCACGTGCTTCAACATGTCATCAAATGCAGCCTTTGAAATCCCAAGCAGATCAAGATAATCATTGTCTGAAAGCTGACTGTGTTTTTCGAAGTCAAGTCTTATCTTCTCACTTCTCAATACTTCTGATCGTAGAAATCTTATCAGCTGAGTGATTGAGTTTTGAGACTGCACTTGAATCTAAAACGACATCTGCTGCAAATGGAATCATTCCACCTGGGGTCTTACCTGTAAATTAAAATTAAAGTTTTTTTAGACAGTGTGCTCCTGAAATTGTATGTTTCTTTGTTTACTTTCAGTTTTTTTTTTACTGATGTTGAGAAGCCACTTGCCAATTGATCTTGAGTCCATCAAACTCAGACTTATACCTGTGCCTGTACCCCCACCCCACACCCCCTACCGTCCAAACATAAGGATCAACAGTACCTCAATCATCTGAGACTCTGGAACAATCGCTCAACCACTGCGCCAAACAGGCAACTTAATTTATGATTCTATGTTGTTTCTTTCATAAAAAAAATATTTTCAAATTAAACTTACCCGTGCATTTGATAACTAAGGACTTTATCTTCCTTGGAATAGAATATCTGTCCTTCAGACGTATTCTCCTAGGACAGGTGAAACATGTATACATCTTTGGCCCTGAAGTATTTGCACGAGGCTTATCTGAAATTTCAAAAATGAATAACATAACAGAATTTTTAACTTAAATAATTGCATTACACATATATTCTATACTTCTCCTTACTTTTTTTAATTTATTATTAAAAAAAATAGGCATATTTTGTAACTTTTAACTTTTGTAACTTTTACATATTTTAATATGTATTGAAACTTCATTTAAAACTTGATATTTGATGATTTGAAAATATCAATTTTGTATATTATTTCCTATAAGGAAATTGAACATGTCAACAACATACAATTTATAAGTATTAATAACCCTGACAATTCCTTTGGAAAGATCATATTTCTCATTTTTATAAAAAAAAATACTGGAAGATCTAATTGTAATAAATGTACAGATGAAATATATATTTAATGCTTTTGTATGATCTAATAAATACAAGAATTAATTAAATAAATAGATGCTTTATTAGTTTTCCATTTCAACATACACACACCTTCTCAATTTCAAATACAAAACAAACAAAAGCAATTATATTGTGACTTTAGCCCATAATTGAGTTGTTTCCCTTCCTTTTACATTAAAAATAAATATGTGTACAAAATATGAACACAATTCTTAGTAATTTCTTTTAGAAATTGCTAAGAATGGTGTTCATATGTTTTGAAAAAAAAATGAGAGTAAAGCAGTATCATTGTGAAAAAAAAAAACAAAACATTCGAACGCTATTTCAGAGTTGCTCTTTCTTAAGATATTCGAGTCGCTTCCCCTTGTAAATAATTTGATAAATTAATTTTCCTTATATATTATATTCAAACTCATTTATTTTTGAAGATATATTTCAAGAATAAATAAATTATCTTTTTACACATAATTATGCAATTTACAAGTGTTTATTTAAGATATTACATCAAATATGACAAAATATATAGCAATGGATTAAAAAAAATGTTTACAGGAAAATTATATAACACTGGAATTCGCCCGATTATATTGCAAGTGGAAAGTTTCGAACGGTGAATTTAATTGTGGATTTCATTATACCTGTGTTGACTGTTACTAGAGTTCATGCAATACGACTTTTTGGTGATATAGTATCGAGAATATGCATCATGCGTTCTTGTAAAAGCGATATATATTATCGTTAGTAGGCGAAGTAGGCTAGCTATGTCAGTTTAGAAAAAAGTATTTCATAGGTTAAAAACTGCTGTAGTGTAGAGGGTTTCTGATCAAGTTAAGACTTGTAAATATTGTTGGAATCATTGACGAACGAATGCTCTACCCCCCCCCCCTTTTTTTTGACGTTTGGACTAGGCCTAATTTAAGCTAAAATAGGATGAATAAATAATAATTATATATTTTTGACTTATCAAATGCTGAAGGAAAAAGAATATAGCCTTATAGGGCCGATATATTTTTGTTCCTCTATATTAAAAGTGATTATTCTTACCTTAGAATTAATCTTGGCAATATCTGATGTTGTTTTCATAGGCTATTATGTAAACACAGCTGTCCTCTGAGGTTTCCGCACGCGCCAGCTGACCAAACGACACTTTCTTGATTTAATATTTATTAATTTTAAACATGGGGCGCATTCCTCTCGGAGAAAAAACTTATTTAGAAATACGCGTTAGATATCAATGTTTCATTTTAGACTTAAATTTTTTTCCGAGAGGAATGCGCCCCACTTCAAATTTTAATATAAAGTTGTAAAATCGGTGGAAAATTCCGGAAAACTCGAAACAGATGTTGGTTTTAGCCATTACGATGAGAAAGACAACATCCGGTTTGACCAAAGCAACCTACCCCTGCATTGATCAAGTATAGTAGATAGAAAAAACACAGATAATTTTCATTGAAACGACAATTTATTTTTAAAGAAATTCACAGGCCATATTCAATACTTTCTGACTTTTGCTCTTTACAATTCTTTTTTCAACGCATACTACATAACCATTATTTACACTGAAACAAAAAGTGTTGGGCCAACGTTATCCGGACTTTAGATAAACATTTTCTATATGGTAAATATGTTAAGCGGGCCTGATATTATCTGCATTTATTTTTTTCTGTTGAATCTAACTACGGTTTACGCTATCACTAGTATCGGCATTCTTGCATAAATTAATGACGTCATAATCAAAATGACGCAATTTTATGAGCGTTAATTTCTTTGAAATATTTTTGTTCAATTTAATCATTTTAACATTGTTAAATTTTGATTCTTTACATCAATATGGTATTTTTAAATATAAAATTATATATAATTATTTTCTACGTCAATATACAGTGCGTATTTCCTGCTAAAGGAAAGTTTGCCAAGCATAAACAAAACTTCCATATACTGTGTACATATGTCTAAAATTTATATTTGGTATTGTACAAAACTTCAAATTATTATAAGTCTTGGGTTGAGCTGTAGTAACATGCTTGTTAAAATGCTTAGTATTCAGTATAAATATAATCGTTGTAGTGATTATTCATGTCCCCAAAGAAAAAAAAAAGTACCTGCATTTCCACTGATATGGACTGACTTCGCCTTGTTGCTCTTTGCAGGTCGTTCGCAACATGTTTGAGATAAAAC